CGTGCGGGATTCGAACCCACGGCCCTTAGACCTGCAACTCGCCACTTCGATAAGCCACTACGCTACAGAGCCGTCAAATTTTATTCTGTCATCTCTTACGACACCCACGCGGTGATATGATGTAGTTGATATACTTACACCGTCGCTACATAGTGAAGATTACAGGTTACAGCTAAACTTTTAATCCAGCAGTGATGGTAAAATTAACAAATGAGATCTTTTTTTTATAGGATAGGGTGACAAACGACAACACAATCCACCTAATGGTAAGTGATTACTGTAGCCCATAGAAATCTACATCTATCCTCGATTACGAATAGAAATGTAGATGCGTTGCCAACCATGAGGACTAAGATGGAATGCCTCGTTTCCAATGAAAAGGGTACTTATACGGTTCTCTACGCTCACCATACGAAACGTTGAGCTGCTATTTCACGCTGGTATTCTGTGAGAGCGTGGTCCTTCCCAGGTCGAGTCGACACATTCCTGTTACAACTATACTATTAATACAGCTGAAACATGGCTCTACCACGTAAAAACTTACTGAAAAAGGAATAAAATTAGTAAAGAGGGCAAGTGTTACCTGTTAATAAATCTAACTCCCTCGAACAGCTTGTCCTGGTCTGGTGCCTCGAAGATATCTGTTGTTGCAAGCTGCAAGAATTCAACGCCGTGTTCCCGCCATTTCTAAAAAAATATCCTCGGTTCAATGAAAGTAATTTTTAAGATTTTTATCACGATTTTTTTATTTTATTTTTATTTATATACTTTTTAGAATAAGGGTGACAAACGAAGTTGCGGCTTAAAGACACCTACACCCATCCTCGATTAAGAAGCAAAATATAGGTGCGTTATCTTGCCGTTACAGTCTATTAAAGTCCATTGCTGAACATAGACCTTCCACATGGATTGCCTGATAGGAGGTATATTTGCTATAGTAGTCACGCTTGGCAAGCAGGAAGAGTTAGCTACCTTGGGAAAATCTATGTTACAGAGAGCACGAGGGATCTGTGACTGTAAACACTTAGCCACCGAACTCCAGCACGTCAATTAAGTTTTCCACGACAACGAGCTTCGGATCCCGCGCCTACGTCACAGTGAACGAGTGAAGCCGGCCACAGTCGAACGTGTGCCTGCTGTACTGCCATACGTCAGAGGTGTCAATGACAAGATTGGCTACATCTTGGAACGTGCTTCCATTAAAACATACTTCAAGCAGCCGAAGAAGATAAGTCAGTTTTTACCATCAGTCAAGTGCAAGATGCAGGATTGTACAAGTAGATTGTGAATGTGGTCTATCTTACATAGGACAAACTGAAAGACTGTGCTGATGTGAAGAATCGACGCTCCGGAAAGTCTGCAGTCTGTGAACACGTACAGGATGGCCCCCGTCACTACAACGGATTTGAGAGACCACAAATCTTCGCTAAAGAACACCGATTTCTTCCAAGTATGATAATTTTAAACCGAAGATAGCCGTGGTTAACTATGATATTGGGACGTCGAACACCTCAGTCCACCCCCATGACCATGGGTGCCGTAAAGTGCTCGAAACGTCGGGAATATAAAATAAGTTAATATACGCGATAAAATTCGTAAAATTAGTTTTATTTCAATGTGTAGTGTTCGCGTAAATATAAGAAATCTCTTTGAAGGCGGTTTGGACTGCCGCATCGGAGTTGAATTCCTTGTAAGAAGTTGTCCAAATTCCGGAAAAATGGTAATCTGTTGGAGCAACCCGTACCATAACCCATAACTGATGTGAAGACTCGACGCTCCGGGAAGTCTGCAGTCTGTGAACACGTAGAGGATCGCCCCCGTCACTACATTAGATTTGATAGACCACAAATCCTCGCTAAAGAACACCGATTCCTTCTAAAGAGGATTCCCGAGGCTATTGAAATCAAAAAACATCCTAATTTCAATAGAGAAGATGGCTGGGTGCTACCATCTGCTTGGGATCCCATAATTAATAAAATTAAATCCCAACCCAAGCATACAACTGTGAGACTTCAAGATACTATAAGTTCATACTGCGTAGATCGGAACAAAAATTAATAATTTTTAATCTGGTGGTAGCCGTGGTTAACTAGGACAAGGGTGCTGTAAAGTGCTCGAAACGTCGGAAATATAAAATAAGTTAATATACGTGATAAAATCCGTAAAGTTAGTTTTATTTCAACTCCTTCAGAGTTTATTAATTCTCGCCCCATGGTTTTTTTAGTAAAGGGTTCAATGAACTACTATGAGATGGCAAAAGTGCATAGATAACAACGGTGCATACCTTGATTAATTAAATATATTTTACAAAAAAAAATTGACTTTATATTCCTCCCTTACAAAACGCCAATTTCATATGTAAGGACCTAATAAACGCGATAAAATCCATAAAATTAGTTTGATCTCATGTGTATATATTCGCGTAAATATAACAAATCAGTGTTATGTTTTTCAAATTCATAAATTTTGTGTAGCACCAGTAGTCCAATGGTTAAGAGTACAAACTTAGAATTAGCAGATTCGCCCTTCGATTACTGCTTTAAACCACTTCCTAACACAAGCATTTCAAATATTTTGAAGATGTTAACGGGGAGTATAGTTAAGAGCATTATAGATAATAATCTCGCTTAGAGTTGCTGCACAATACCTATGTTAATTGTCAACACATACAGGCAATTGTTCGCGGTTCCAGTATCAGATGGAGGAACAATCAATAGCATAGAAACTTAGGGTCACGTGTGATGTCAATGAAATAGGAAGCACGTGCACAGACAAGATCTGAAACTATTCGTGGAATGCCTTGTGGTGGAATACAATTATAATTTATTTATTATCTTTTATACGTGGTAGAGCCATGCTGCAGCTATATTTACAGTATATAGTTGTAGCACGAACGGTTCGGCTCGAACGGGAATTGCCCCGGATCTACGATTTTTTTGAACCGGGGACTTGATAGTGGCGCCTCCTCTCTCAAGCGTTTGAGATAACTTGTTAAAAATAAAACTTGCACTCTTTATTACCTATTAGCTAATAACTTTTTCATTTGTGTGAGGTAAAATTATATATAGAAAACATATAACCAGGAAAGACAACAGATAATCAAGACATTTAGGACCTTAAGGTCTCATCATTTTTTTCTCTCTAATCTTGCTTTACACGGCGCGCTTTCTATTCTGTGAAAGAATCTATTTGCTCATCAAAGTCTGTCTCAAAGGCAGTTTTATTTCAATGGTTGGAATCACAGGCCAGATAGACGTTCCTGATAGAACGTGCGCTGGCTAGGCGCTTTGTGATGCAAGTAAATTTTTTTGCAGCCACATTATATTATAATTATGGCACCACCTGAAACTATATCCGGGCTTGACTATGACCGGGGAAGGACCAAACTCTCACAGAATACCAGCGTAAAATAGCAACTTCATGCTCCTGTGTTTCGTATAGTGAGTGTAGAGAACCGGAGACCCTTTTTACTGGAAATGAGGCATTCCATTTTAGTCCTCACGGCTGACAACGCATCTGCATTTTGATTCGTAATCGAGGATAGATGTAGATATCTATGGGCCACAGCAACCATTTACCATCTGGTGAATTCTTAAGGCACTTCTAGCAGACCTAGAATCTTCAAATTTGGAATACAATTATTGTTTTATATATAAATCAAGGAAAAATTAAAATATTTTGCAATTTCTTAAATATGTATAACTTGACAGATACATTGTGTTTTCATGCGATGGCCAAGACAATCTATTTATTTAAAACTCAAAAGATTTTTGATATTGATATGGTCACTATAAGATTTTGTTAGGTTAGCTAATTGCGTAATAATTTAATACAGAAGGACCCTTAAGTAGGGACTGAATAAATTAACCGACTTGGTATTACATGGATATCACAACTTTTTACGGTAGAAGAACTGAGTTGCGAGACTTGGCTTTTGTTACAAGTTATGTTTTTGATGGCATAAAAAATATCTGCTAGCAACCCGCCCGGCTTCGTCAGGTTAGTATATATTAATTAATGTGACGTTATTTCTTTGACTACCTTAAATCTAAATTATGAGATGGATAGCCTTACCCTTTTTTTTATTTTATTTAATAAACGTTACCTCCACACTAGGATTTTCTCCTGTATCGTGGGTGCATTTTAGATACATAAACTTCACAAGGACAAATATGCAGATTCGCAACAATTATTTGTAGGCCGTTCCGTGCGGGATTCGAACCCGCGGCCGTTAGCGCTGCAACTCATTGTTGAGCCACTGCGCCACGGAGCCGTCAAACGTCAAGTCTCCATTGCGACTGGCCATTCGATCTGGAAGGTATTACATAACATTCTTTTTCTCGATATTCCTCCCATTAATGAAGTTCTCACCTCAGCGTCGTTGGAGAATATCTTGAGCTCGTAGGTTTCGTTCATGGACACCACGCCTTTTACGTTTTCCTCTTCGATTAACTGAAAAAGTATATAGATAATTTAAAAAAAAAAAACAAATAAAATTTTGCTATTTATTTTTCGAACGAAGTTCCTTATCGGAAGGAACGAATTTGACGGATGGGGCTAGGAGAAAAAATTGTAAGATTATTCCGTCACGACCCCCTGTCTATAGTGCGGGCGAGATGAAATAATATACATCTCCCTCGCACTTTTTCTTTTCTTGCCATGAATAATATTTCTTATTTTAAATGACGGTTAATTTTAATAGACGCTAGTAATTCATTTATTTGTATTTTTTGTATTTGTAAATCAATAATATAGGTAATACGTTTATCAATAATAATATACTACGAAGGGAACTTCATTACAACCGAGTGTTCCACGACACTCACGCATGTTTTTTTTTAATTTAAAGTTTACTTGCTAGTGAAACTTGCGCTCAGTACATACATATAATCACGTCTCTTTTCCGTAGGGGTAGGCAGAGACCACTTCTTTCCACTTGCTACGATCCTTACATACTTGTTTCGCTTCGTCCACTTTCATTATTCCCCTCATACATGCTCTTCGGTTTAGGGTACTCTTGTCCTGGCCTTTTTTCAAGACTTCCCTGAATTGGTCTAGAAACGTCCACCTAGGTCTATCCCTTCCAACACTTTCATTCACACTCGCCTTATACACTTTTGTCGTCAATCGTTCTTCATTCATTCTCTCGACATGGCCAAACCATCTCAGCATATCTTTCTCAATTTTTGTCACTACATCTTCTTTCAGACCACAACGTTTCCTTATCTCACTATTTCTTATCCTGTCACTCAGTTTAACTCCTATCATACTCATCTCAACTGCATTTATTCTGCTTTCATGTTTCTTCTGCCATACCCAACTTTCACTTCCGTATATGAGTGTCGGAACCAACACCCCCTCATGCACAGCAAAACCAGCCTTGTTAGACACCTTCCGACTGCTCATAAAGGAGTGCAAAGCTCCATTCACCATGTTTCCTGCATTTACTCTTCTTTCGATATCACTCTCACACTTTCCATCTCTTGTAAACTTTGAACCCAGATACACAAACTCCTTCACCTGTTCAATTTGTTCATCTCCAATCACGATATTGCAGTCTGTCACTGCCTCATCTCTTTCGAACACCATCACTTTCATCTTCTTTACATTCGTCTTCATTCCCTTTCTAACAAAAGCTGACGGGACTGAGGTGTTTGACGTCCCGATGTCATAGCCCGGCTACCTTCAATTTTTGAATATTAATTCTTGCATTAATATATCATATTATGTACAATAGCAGAAATTGCCCACTTTTTGTAGCGCATCGGCGTTGTTTTCAGAGTACCAAATTAATAGCTTCACGACCAACATCGAAAAAGCCTATATCCATAATATTCAGAACATAGGACAGTTGTAACCGCAACCTGAGGAGATTGACAGATAGATACACATCGCCGCTCTGAAAATACGAGTACCTATATTGTGAAGAGAAATGATCATAGAAACTTCCTTCATTGATTGCCCTATTTGAAATAAAATGGGTCTCTTAATACCTGTGTTTTCTTATAATAATAATAATTCTTTATTGAACACAAATATAATATACAATTCATTGGTACCCTGGCTCCTAAACTAGGTTACCCTGTATGTTAGGAGGCAGTTTCCCTTCCATTAAGTGATATTATTTTCGTGTACAATAATACAGACTCTAAAATATAAAAAAAATTAAAGTGTGTGTGTGTGTGTTTGTTTGTGTATCTTATCATTATTGTTTCTGATAACTAACTTACTCATTAGTCTTAATATTATTTAATTACCTAGTAGTTACCAAAATGTACAATTATATTGATTTTTAACAGCTAGAGAAGCTATTAATGTGACGTTAGTTAGATTTAAGACAATTAAAGACCATTTATTTTATCAATTTTTAAAATTGTAAAAATAATCATATCAATTGATAAAAACAAATGTCAATTAATAAAAATTCATTGTTTTATTCAGAAACGAAGAACTTTTAGTTTTTCATATAAAATCTAGCCTAGTTCACTTCTAGCGTTGCTTTTGCTTGAACAAAAAGACCGGCCAAGTGCGAGTTGGACTCGCGCATGAAGGGTTCCATGCCATTGTACAAGATTTATAATATGTATGCAAAAAAAAACACGTTTCTAGTAGGGGAGCCCCATTTAATTTTTAAATTTATTTCTAACTAGCAGTTTCCCGCGACTTCGCTCGCGTGTTAGGGTTTTTTTGTTTTTGCGCGGAACCCTAATTCTTTTTCTAAAATAAAAGTAGCCTAAGTTACTCCTTATGAAATCAGCTACCTGCCAGTGAAAGTCCCGCCAAAATCGGTTCAGCCGTTTAGGAGATTAGCCGGAACAAACAGACAGACAGACAGACAAAAATTTTAAAAATTGTGTTTTTGTTATAAGTACCATATATACTTTCATATACAATTAGTAAAAAGCTGTAATTTTGATATTACAAACAGACACTTCAATTTTATTGATTTGTATAGATTATAGTGCCAGGAGAAATATAGATTTTGAGAAAATTTCAACTGTCTACTTATTACAGATCATAAGCTACAGCCCACTGACAGACAGATGAACACCGGAGGTTTAGTAATAGAGTCCGGTTGGTTACTTCGGGTACGGAACGCTAAAAATAGTTATAATTTATGGCTTAATGGCATGCTAATAATCCCCTCAGCTTAATATAAGGGAGTGATTTCGATTTTACAGACTGAAGTGTAATTATAAATAAATTTTATTTTATATATATATATATATATATATATATATATATATATATATATATATATATATATATATATATATGCATAGGTATGTATAATTTATATATGTATATAGATCAAATAGGGATATGGTGTGGTAGAACCATGCTGTAACTATATTATGGTTGTAGCATAAATTAACCAGCCCAATCAGTGCAGGATCACGCTTTCACAGAATACCAGCATAAAATAGCAGAAAACGAGTCTGATGCACATACGCAAGTTTTCTTTTTTATAAAATTGAAGTGACAGACATATTTACAGTCCATCTGGTGGTGATCATGCAGTTCATAGACACTTGTAATCAACTTCAAACAAAAATGGCTACAGATGCCTTGTCACCTCTAAGGACTAAGATGGAATGCCTCACAGCCTGCAATTAAACTGACTCTCCATACCCTTCAAACCGGATCACAGCTGAGCAGACATACTCCCAGACTGAACAGGAATCCCACCATCAAACATACTCATGTCTACCCTTAACATATCTGCGTAGCTACCACTCTATTACCTATTTCTGCCAACATACAGGTAGATATTGTAAGGACAATAATATTAAAAAACAATTTTTTGATGAAAACGAATGTACTAATTTTGACTAATTTATACGTGGTAGAGCCATGCTGCAGCTATATTAGTAGTACAGTTGTAGCACGAATGGGTCGGCTCAACCAGGGAAGGACCACGCTCTCACAGAATACCAGCATAAAATAGCAGCTTGACACTGCTGTGTTTCGTATGGTGAGTGTAGAGAACCGGAGACCCATTTTACTGGAAAAGAGGCATTCCATCTTAGTCCTCACGGGTGACCGACGCATCTGCATTTTAATTCTTTATTGTGGATAAATATAGATGTCTATGGGTCACAGCAACCACTTACCATCAGGTGGACTGTGTGCTCGTTTGTCACCCTATCCTATAAAAAAATACTGATTTTGATACAGCATTCTTCGCATATTTTATATGATGTAAATAGTAAAAAAATCTTAACTCAAGTAGTACTTGTGATTGGATGTGTACAATCTTAATAACTTGTGAACTAATAAACTAAGATAAAAATAAATATTACACAAACAAAAAAAATTATATTAAATATTTCAATCTATGTTCCATGAAGTGGCAGTGTTAGAATATCCACTACCCCATATTGTGCCATGGGTGTCGTAAGAGGTGACAGCAGGAAATTAAAACTGTAGATAGGAAGGGGCTGGTCTTCCTAATAACCACTTAAAAAACTGTAGTTGTCAACCCTCCTACCAAGTTTATCAACTATGGCAAAATCTTCCCAATGAAGCAATCTATAAGGGAGACCTATGTTCAGCAGTGGACTTTTTTGACTGTAATAGATGAATCTTTTTTTCAAATATTATGTACTCTTTTACATATTTAGGTGTTTTATCTTTTTGTGTAATACTAGCTGTGCCCCGCAGTTTCACCCGCGTATATCATGCATGTGCGCCTTGAGACATGCGAACTTCAAGAGAGACGTCACGACGGACGGTTGCTGAATTAACAAAGATTTAAAAAGTGAAATATGTTACTAAAATTACATGGTTAACGTAATGGGTCGTTATGCATGATACAGGTACTGATATGAATAACGTCTAGGCCACATCATTCGTATCAGTACATACTCGTATTAGTAGTATTTGTACCGGCGTAACTATTTCACATTTTAACATGAAAAAGTAGTTATTGTGACATAACTGTAATAGTTAAACATATGGTATCGCAGACTTTTTTGTAGAGATTAATATCCTCTATAAAAATGAAGTACATTACTTTGCTCTATTATCAATAGTTTCCGAAGTGTACGCTATATAAGGATTCTTTTTGGTATTTTTTTCACACCTTGGGTTATATTAACGAAGTTTTCATACAGATCCCTAACTTTTTTGAAAATATTACATAGCCTATGTTCATCAGGGATAATGTAGGATTCTAATGGTGAAAGAATTTTTCAAATCGGTCCAGTAGTTTCGGAGCCTATTCAATTCAAACAAACAAACAAACAAATCTTTCATCTTTATAATAGTAGTGTAGATAATGCTATATTTTGTAACATAAAAGAATAATTGCATTTGCTACTTTAAGGCATTAAATAACTTGTCCATTTTGGTAATGCGATCATTACTTCAATTAAAATTGTTGTTACTTTAATGACTTTTATGTGAAGTAGTTTTTTTGTACTGGTACTTTATATTGTTAGTGCCTTGATCAAAAAATACAGTAATAGTTGAAACATATTCATATATTCTACTTAATTCGCAACTACTTTGTAATAATGAAGTTTCATTTGTCTTTATTGTCTCACAGAAAAAATTTAATCATATTATTTTTTTATTAACGATAAAAATTTAAGTAGGCAAATAAGGTTTATACACACTTTCTCTACTCTTCTTTTGGGATGAGTAATTATAATGAATTTATAGGGATCTAAAACAAATAATTTTTCATTTAAACTGTCCTATTATTATACTTCAGTATATTACGAAAATTTTCCCATATAAAATATAATATCAAATAAAATAATAAAAATATATTCTCCAATCCTAAGCACTTTTCGTAGACAACCGTAGTTCAAATATTTGATAACCTTATTTATCTACAAATAATGAGATTACGTACCTGTTTCGTCATACTCTGAAAAGGAAGAGCACCCAAGATGACGTGGTCATCTATTCTATCGTACCAGCGCCTGCTGGTCACCTTCTCCATCAGAACATTGTATAACAGTGTAGGATAAAACGTTACCCTCGCAAACATCGCTGTGCCCTGTCAAGAAACAGTTATGTTAACCGCGTGCCCGAGACCGCTATATTGTACAAATGCGTACAACACTCTCCAGTATTATATATTAGTCTATGTACAACACAGTCTAAGGAATGACGCTACCATGGTAGATAAAGAAGTAAATATAATGCTGTGATATAAAACTGGTCTCCGTGGTGGGGATTGAAATTTGCTAAAAACTTCCTTTTACTCCATTATTTGTTTTGACAGCAAGTGTCAGTCAATGTCACTGTCAATGTCAATTATTATTGATGATGTTTTTATTATTCGCTCACGAGAGTAGGCAAAGGAACAAAGCCATACAGCCTTGACTTTTTTATTTTGAATTAAATTATCCTTCATAATTCACTGCTTCACAATATATTGATGCGTCACATTGTGCAGCCCTTGGGAGATTTTGACGGCAACTTGAGCCAGCAGACAGCTGACAGTTGGCGATGGTATCTAAAGGCACCTATGTAGACAAACAGCTCATCTTGAGAATCCATCACAATCAGAGCACTTGTTTCACCATTTCCACTAATAGTTCACATGCGTAGACAGTTAATAGATAAAATCGCACCACTTTTACATATCAAAATCCACTTCAAACTATTATTTAAACTATAATACAGGAGCAGCAAACCGCCGCCGGACAAGTTCCCGCCAAAACTCTGTCAATTGTTAACCTTTTACTTCTAAGTCAATGACCTTTTTTATTTCTGCGTTATCTACTTAAGTAGGTAGCTTGCTACATATTTATTTAATCTATGATGTAGCTACGTAATTGCTCATTGTAGAGGGAGTATGTACAATATACCTAGTCAGGTCATAAGTATTGTCACACAGTAATAACTTTTCTTTTAGAATGCTGGCCACAAAAAAGTTTATTGAATTCGAATTTCAAATTGTTCATGAAAATAAAACTGTATAGTTTTTAGAATTTCACTCATTTTTAAATATGGAGTGGACGCTTAAAGAAGACCGTGTTGCAGTTATTGCGTTGCATCGTTGCGGTTACGCGCCAATTCAAATTTTTGACATACTGAAAAATTTGAATATAACAAAAAGATTCGTTTATCGTACCATCAAACGATACAATGAAGACTCTAGTGTAGATGACAGGTCAAGAAGTGGTCGCCCTCGGTCTGTTAGGACTCCAGCAGTGATAAAAGCTGTGAAGGCGCGAATTCAAAGAAATCCCAAACGTAAGTAGAAACTGTTGGCCCTTCAGATGGGGTTAAGCAGAATCACGGTGAAAAGGGTGTTAAATGAAGACTTAGGGCTTCGGGCATATCGAAGAAAAACAGGACATCGTTTGAATGCTCGTCTAATGGACCTGAGACTGAAGAGATGCCGCGCTTTGTTGAAGCGGTACGCGAGAAAAAATATCGGGAAATTATTTTTTCGTATAATTTTTTTTTTACCGTAGAAGAAAGCTACAACAAACAAAATGATAAGGTGTACGCACACAGTAGTGAAGCGAGCAACCGAAATCCCCGTGTCCAACGAGGTCATTTTCCATCCTCGCTCATGGTATGGTTGGGAGTTTCCTATTGGGGCTTAACAGAGGTACATTTTTGTGAGAAAGGTGTAAAAACGAATGCAGTTGTGTATCAAAATACAGTCCTGATGAATCTTGTGGAACCTGTTTCTCATACCATGTTCAATAACAGGCACTAGATATTCCAACAAGATTCGGCGCCAGCTCATAGAGCGAAGAGCACACAAGACTGGCTGGCGGCGCGTGAAATCGACTTCATCCAGCACGACGACTGGACCTCATCCAGTCCAGATTTGAATCCGTTAGATAACAAGATATGGCAACACTTGGAGGAAAAGGCGTGCTCAAAGCCTCATCCCAATTTGGAGTCACTCAAGACATCCTTGATTAAGGCAGCCGCCGATATTGACATGGACCTCGTTCGTGCTGCGATAGACGACTGGCCGCGCAGATTGAAGGCCTGTATTAAAAATCACGGAGGTCATTTTGAATAAACTTTAGTGTCATAAGAATTTATGTTTTGTTAAGTTCATTTTGGTATATAAATGGTTACATAATGAATAAACTTGTTTCAATTATTTTATATTAAACATGTGACAGAATTTATGACCTGACTAGGTAAATGTAGTTGGTGAAAATGTAGTTCATAGATAGATGTAGCAAGTTATGATGTAGTTTATTCTCTCTCTATGTTGCTTATAGACTTATAATTGCATATTCCATAGACAACCTGACAGACCGAAAGACCCCCCCTACTCCAGCCTATAAATTTGGAGTCTATATATATAATATATATATATATATATATATATATATATATATATATATAGAACCTTTCACGGTAAATGTTGCTCCAGTGAGAACTTAGAACAAATATTGATCCACCTATTTTACGTATATACTCAGCTCTGCGTCGCGCAAAATAATATACTTTGATCAATCCTTGATGCGCGTGTGACGTCGGTGGATCTGTGGTTACTAATTTTCAACATACTCGTCAGCGATTTGACCAATATTTGTTGGTCCATCAACGGTCGAAAAAATCATACTGAATACGATTTCTTACATCCAGAATATATTTAACTTATATGCGACATTTACCTAAGCTAAGTGGATCCAGAGCCTAAACTGACATATAGGTACGCAAACACAAAGCGGCAACGTCGCGTTCTGCGTGTGACAGAGAACTATTTCGTTAGAGTAAGAAGGTAAGAAATATGCGTTAGCTGATACGTTGCGTTTGAGGATCAAACTGGCAAATTTGATTGCGGCAAGACGTTTGCGCGGGTTTTTGTTATCGTGTGAGTGGAGTGAATTTTCCAATCAGAAGATGATGGTGAGTATTTTATTATCTATATTTGATTATCTATTTAGAAACTCGATATTATGTAGGTATTATATTAATGAGTTAATCCGGATGTGATCCCGGCTCAAATGAAGAGGGGCGGAGTAAAGACCGCCTCAGTGGAAACGCACCCCCTCATCCATGATCGACACGTATGATAATAAATAGGTATTCACATAATAATACCTAAGGACTTACCTAACTACCTAGTAACTACCTACCTACCTACCAGTTTTTTTACCACCAAAAGAGTTGTGATTGTGTTTAGGTAGGTTAAATAACTGTGCTGCCTGCCAGAAGCCCAATCAGAATAATAAAAGTAGATAACCAATAACTATTTAACTGACCTTTTCGCTCTGTGGTTAGTAGCTCTGGATGCGGATCCTGAGGTCGTGGGTTCGATGTCCAAACATGCCAAACATTTGTGTGACGAACACTGATGTTTGCTCTGTGTCTAGGTGTTAAATAACTACCTACTTATCTATGTATTTCTCAGGCCTCCATACCTAGTACAGTAGGTTTCACAAAACACTAAGGGAGATCAGGAACTACTTATGTGTGAAATGTCCAGGATATTTATTTATTTTATTTAAGTACGTAAAAAGACTAAACATAGGTACCATATTTACAAAATTTCAGAAGTTTTGTTTAATGACGTCGCAGCATAAGATGGCGTCTTTGTCCGTCTTTCTGTCCGTCCGTCCGTCTGCCTGTCAAGACTCTTTATCTCGGGAAAGCGTGTAGGTATCGAATTAGAATTAAAATCATATACTCAGGTATACTTACGGCCGTGCATGTTGGTTTTATATGTAAAAATTAATTATAGGGTGGGTGCCCCTAATCCCAGCTATGCCCCTAATTCCAGCTTTTTCGCCTTTTTACTTCGTAAATAAGATTTCTAGTAGTCTTAACTATAAATATTGTCACCTAAAAAATTCTCCGTAATTACATAAAGACTTTTTTAAGTTGTAGCACGAATGGGTCGGCTTGACCGGGGAAGGACCACGCTCTCACAGAATACCAGAGTAAAATAGCAGCTTAACACTGCTGTGTTTCGTATGGTGAGTGTAGAGAACCGGAGACCCTTTTTACTGGAAATGAGGCATTCCATCTTAGTCCTCACGGGTGACAACGCATCTTTATTTTGTTTGATGTAGACGTCTATGGGCCGCAGCAACCACTTACCATGAGGAGGATTGTGTGCTCGTTTGTCACCCTTATCCTATAAAAAAATTGTTTGAACGTATAAAACTTAATTTCCATCTTATGAACATAAGCCCTTAGCATTTATGGTCGCATCAAATTTAGACAACAAAAGAACAAGTAATTATGCGCTTTTACATATCTCATTACACAAGGTTGTGTAATTTGTAAAATTATAATTTCGTTCGTCTTATGAATTTTAATTATCACTGATTAGGAAGGACTTCGGCGTGCCTTGCAATCAATGCGTTGCCGTGAGAACTATAATGTACATATTACAATATCTCAAGAGTTACAACATGTTTCGAATTTCTTCTTGTCTCCGTTATTACCTGGTTTTTTCGAGTCATCCTTGCCACTCCAATCAATGCATTGTTCGGCGGCGACTTTGTAGGGCATATATCTATGCCCTACAAAGTCGCCGCCGAGAAAACTATATGGTAACCCATCAGACAACATTTTGGACTGTTATAGACTATTTTTGTAAATTTATACGAAACTATGTCATAGGCTGATTATAGTATTTGTTAATAACTGAACTAATTTACTGTAATCCTCAATTTAAAAAAAAAAATAAATAGTATAATGTAGAAGTATTTCGTCTTTTGGACGTTAACATTAAATGGTATGAGATATTAAGAAAGAATTACTTAGAAATGGATTTCGAATAATTTGGCATCATAGATGTTTATATAAGTGCTAAATTATGAGAAGTAAAATCGATGAAAGTAAGTTTTAAAAAAAATATTAATCAATCAACCTACGGGGAAGCCCGGAGTAAGTTGCAAGATTAAATTAATTGGCATCTTTCGTTTGCATTGTGCAAACGAAAGATGCCAATGCATGCCAATGCATGTCTTAGCACTGATTACAGAAGCTGTTCTGTGGAAGTTATTTTATTCGGTTTTTAATCTTTACTAAACGTTAATGTTTTGCTCTTTT